ATTGTACTGTTTAATAAATATGCAATATTTTTTATTAATAATAATTTGAAATTGCTTATTTCTATTATACGTTCAAACTTTTATACTGGATTAATTTATAATTTTTTTATTAATACATTATTATATTTTAATATATTTATAATTTGAAATTTCATAATCCAAAATAATAATCAAACTACATTTGAATTTTGAAATAATAAAATCTCGAATTTCAAATTTTAAATTTCAAAATATTATTTTCAATATAGAAATTGCTAATCAATTCCGCGATTTTATGTTATATAATTTTATTTATTACCTATTTAAGCTGATTGATTTTAATTGTATGCCTAAATTATATAAGATCTTTAACCAAAATTAAAGATTGTTTAATGTTTTTCAAATCAATACCATATATATATATATATATATATATATATATATATATATATATATATATATATATATATATATATATATATATATATATATATATATATATATATATATATATATATATATATATATATATATATATATATATATATATATATATATATATATATATATATATATATATATATATATATATATATATATATATATATAATTTATATTATTATTATATTTATATAAAACATTTAAATATATATTTTTATATATTTATAAATATAAATATATATATATATATATATATATATATATATATATATATATATATATATATATATATATATATATATATATATATATATATATATATATATATATATATATATATATATATATATATATATATATATATATATATATATATATATATATTATACAGGGAAAATTACGGCCACACTATGAGGTAAGGTCAAATTACGAAAAAACCCCTCTTGTTTGGGTAATTACATTCCCCCTCCTTATAAAGATTTTCAATAAAATATAAGTAATTCGGTTATTTACCGAACCAAATCGTATATTCGGTTCGGTAAACGGTATGAAATGTTGGCGTACCAAAAATTCGGTTCGGTTGAGGGGTTTTTTCGTAAGATAATACATACTTGAGGGGTGGCTGTAATTACCTAAACAGGAGGGGGGTTTTCATAATATGACCTTAACTCAGGGGGTTGGCCGTAATTTGCCCTATATATATTATATATATTTTATGTAAATTTGAGTGGAAGTAGTAAATAGGATGTGATACATTAATTAATTGTCCGCAGTTTCTGAATAATTGCTGTCGAAGAATGTTTCTTGACCTAATGAATTTATCTGCCATCTCATGGAAACATTTTCTTCAGGACATACTCAATGTATGTCGAATATTCGGCAAGGTTACTTATTTTGTTGGAAATGCCGAGTAAAACTTTCGTTTTCATACTCGTATAGATGGTGTAGGCATTACTAGAGAACGTGTTTTATCACAACGCCATCGAAGCAACTGGGTAGATGCAGACGAGGAGGATGATGAAGGGGACGAGACTGAGTTATATGTCGAGTCAACACCGCCGTACTTGTGAAAGAAGGCTTCTATTACTTGTCTCTACAGTAAGTTTATCTATACCTATATCTATATCTATATCTATACTACTTATATAAGGAGTAATGTAGTAGTTAGTGGTTTCTTCCATTTTTAGTCTTCCAATTACTTGTGTCAAATATACCCAAATAGTTTCTGAATTTTTTTTTTTACTTTCTTCTCGACCCAAGTCTTGATTTATTCTCTGTTATTTTTTAGGGCAAATTACGGCCACCCTCGAGTTATGGTCAAATTATGAAAACCCCCCTCATGTTTGGGTAATTACAGCCACCCCTCAACTATGTATTATCTTATGAAAAAACCCCTCAAGAGGTAAATTTAGGGATGTTAAATCGTTAAAATCGAACCGAAATTTCGGTACGCAAACATTTCATACCGTTTACCGAACTGAATATACGATTTGGTTTGGTAAATAACCGAATTACATAAATTTTATGTAAAAATATTTAAAAAGAAGGGTGGCTGTAATTACCGGGATAATTACACTTTGCGTCCCTATACTTTTCCACTTACACGATTTTCGTCCCTAAATAAGATGCAGTTACAATTTTCGTCCCTAAACATGTCACTTTTACGTTGTTTCTGTCCCTCCGTCCATTTGTCCAGTTAGTATGGACGGAAAATCGCACGTGCGACGCACGTGACACACAAAATCACCTCATTCCTCCCCCTCATAACGTCCAGATCACACATTACATGTAAACACAACTTGCCCTAATTCTCTCTTGAAATCCAAATGCTCCATTTTCCAAATCCTTAATTTTTTCTACTCAAACTTGCATTAGATTGAACAAAAAAACAACACTGGAACCACAAACAACTACATCTTATTCACTAAACTAACCCTTGGAAATTCTAACCACTAATTTTGATCAATATAATGAAAATTAAATAACCTAAGACAATCAAAATAACTTTCAAGATCTTCATTCTATTGTTGTACTGGACAATTAAATTCTCCAATTTTTATTTTATTTTTCTTTCATAGGACTTCTTTTCCTTTGCCATCGTATCTTCTTGCTTTGCCATCATATCTTCTTCATTTTCCATAATATCTCCCTTTTCCTTATAGCTAGCCAATTCATCCTTCAAACAGTAAATTCTTCTTATCAATCTAGGGATAATATTCTTTGATCGAGCACACATTTCAGGATCATGCCATTTAAATACACCAGGATATTTTACTCTATGTTCCAAAAGAAACACAATTATTGTGTGTCACCAATAATACATATATATATATAAACAAATTACCTCATAGTTTGGACAAGGCACGAAATCTTCTTCCAAGATTACTAGGAGTTCATGAGGTCAACAAGGGCATCTCATCTCCACATTTACAATAAAACAATTGACTTTTAGCAGCAGATCTTGAATTATAGCTAGAATCACGGTTTTGACTCATCCTCCAGGCTCCATTCTCCAATATAAAACAACAAATTCTGAACTTTTTATTCCAAATTAAAATATAGGATAAATAAAGAGAGAATGAAATGTACTTCGAATCCGCGACTGCAAGTGCTGAAATTAGCTACCTACGCTGAAGAAGCTTCAAAATATGAATTGCCCACTTTCTAATTGTGCTTTCAATGATGAATTCATGAGGAATTGAGAGATTTCGAAAATTTGGGCTGAGGATTTTGCTGAGAATTTGGATATTTATGAAATTATTCTGAAAATCTGAACATTATGAGGGGGAGGGGGTGCTTTTGTGTGTCACGTGCGGTGCACGTGCGATTTTCCGTCCATACTAACTGGACAAATGGACGGAGGGACAGAAACAGCGTAAAAGTGACATGTTTAGGGACGAAAATTGTAACTTCATCTTGTTTAAGGACGAAAATCGTGTAAGTGGCAAAGTATAGGGACGAAAAGTGTAATTATCCCGTAATTACCCAAACAAGAGGGTTTTGTTTTTCGTAATTTGGCCATACTTCAGGGGTGGCCGTAATTTGCCCTATTTTTTATTCGTGTTTTGCATCATACTATGATCTAAAATTATCTCAGTGTTTTTTTTATTCGCTAGCTCCTATTCACCAATAAAAAGGTGGTTGCTATTTCTTACTAATTGATTATTGGAATGAATATGCAATCTTTGCTAATCTCGTTCCTCTTTTCAATCCATCAATGCAGGAAGGTCTAAACTCCGTAAAAGTTGGTTCATGTCGAGTTTGCTAAATGGTCAAAACGAGGGATTTAATGAGAAGATGGGAATGATATTATTATGGCTACTTTGCCTTCGGACTTACTTTGGATTTATGCTACTTTTCTTCTTTCGTCGTGTCATCGAATTTCACGTTCTCTCTGAGCCCGGCACCCCCCCCCCCCCCCCCCGCCAACTCTGAATAGCTTTCTATAAAATGTCACTCAACAGCAGAGTTGTAGCCCTTTTGAGATTTCAATTTTTGTTCCAATCTCTCTGTCAATTTATATTGATAAAATCTAAGACCCAAATGAATGGTTATCAAACCTAAAAAAAAAGGATTGATCCAACAAGAATTAACTATTGAAGTTAATTTGCAGATTTTGAGATGTGATAATCAAAAAGAAAAAGAGAAATGAAACAAGAGAAAAATTTAATCAGCTGACATACATAATTTGTTCTGAAATATAATAAAACAGTAATAAGTATGCTTACATTTACTGAGCATGAGTTGGTATTTGATTCCCATCCTCATAGACTTCGGGGATATGAGAAATCTTGGGCCACTCTGAATCATCATCATCACTTATTTCTCGTATTTTCTTTAAATTTAATAGTGGACAACGACCGATAGCTAAATAACTTAATTTGGTGAGGCGTAGCATTGCTTCCTTGGACGGCAAATGTCGCAATTTCTTGCAGTTGTTTATATGTAACAGCTGCAGAGACGGCGAAAAGCTGTTGTTGTTCCCAAACCATTCAGGAAATTCCTGTATATTTCCTAAATTGTGTAAGTATAGCTTAGAAAGAGCAGAGAGATGTTGAATCTGATCCGGTAGATAACCACAACTTTGGTCGTAACAATTATTCCCTGCCAACGACAAGATATTAAGAGATTTGGTCGATACTTTGAAAATGGCGTCAACGAATGAATTTGAGTACTCATCGCTTCTTGTACTACCGATGCTTAAATAATGCAAACTACTGCCATAACCGGAAGAAGAACCAGTTGTAATCTCCGACAAGGAAGATGAATTATTGGTGATCATATTCATCATCGGAACATTGCCAGTTTATTTTTTATGGAGATTTTTTATTGGTAAATTAAGATACTGATATGCCTAATTGGGTCAACCCAATGGGCTTACAATTTATTTACCTACGGGACCACGAGCCCAATATTGAAGACCACTATCACCGAGGCCCAGTCACCTTCGAATAATGTTTAGGCCCAACAATCTCATCTAAGCTCTCATCAAAGCTATTTATAAAAGTTTGAACTCATTCATCAAGGTACGTCCTATTAACTGAGCAATACTACAATACGTATTATCTGGACTATTTCCACTATCCGCACGTCTGACTTGAGTGTCGGAGCGGTTTCCGCCGGATCAACCCCCGGCCTAGTTCACGTGTTCTCTCTTCGCAGGTATCTCAGGGCCATCTAGCACGTGAGCAGTGATCCACTTCGCTCTCCCAGCTCAACTATTTTAGGTGATCTAATTTTAGAAGTTACGTCCTATTAACTGAGCAATACTACAATACGTATTCTCTGGACTATTTCTACTATCCGCACGTCTGACTTGAGCGTCGGAGGGGTTTCCGCCGGATGAACCCCTGGCCTAGTTCACGTGTTCTCTCTTCGCAGGTATCTCAAGGCCATCTAGCACGTGAGCAGTGATCCACTTCGCTCTCCCAGCTCAACTACTTGAGGTGATCTAATTTTAGAAGGTACGTCCTATTAACTGAGCAATACTACAATACGTATTCTCTGGACTATTTCCACTATCCGCACGTCTGACTTGAGCGTCGGAGGGGTTTCCGCCGGATCAACTCCCGGCCTAGTTCACGTGTTCTCTCTTCGCAGGTATCTCAGGGCCATCTAGCACGTGAGCAGTGATCCACTTCGCTCTCCCAGCTCAACTACTTGAGGTGATCTAATTTTAGCATCATCAGATACGAATTTCTTATTTGTTATTCAATTGTATTCTTTACATTATCGACATATGTTTTCTTGATTGGTTTTCTACATTAACTCATTTTGGTTTTTGAATTAATTCCCATTCATCGCACAGGTGAGTTATTAGTTGGAATCAATAAGCAAAAAATCCAAAAAAATAAATTAAAAATTAGAGTCAATGAAGCATATAAATCGACTATGATGAAGCATAGTTGATTAAGAAACTAAGTACTAAAAATAATAAACCACAACCACAAACAATGCAAAATTAACTATATTTTACAAAAATTGCAAAATTAACTATATTTTACAAAAAAATGCAAAATTAACTATATTTTACAAAAAAATGCAAAATTAACTATATTTTACAAAAAAAATGCAAAATTAACTATATTTTACAAACATTATAATTGATTTATACAATTGGAATAAATAAAAAAATTAAAATTGGAGTCGATGAACCTTAATCGACTATCAGAGCACAGTCGATTAGCTTAATCGACTGTTGAACATGTACGTATTAAGGTTTCAGCCTGCGCGAATTTCTCTACCCGCGTCGTCCTCCGCCTAATCTACCAAAAAACCTAGATATGCTCTCTATTGTCAACCACACCGCCGCCACAACACACCATCACCACCTTACTTTGATATTATGACGGTTTTTATTACAAATAAATAAATAAAATCACAACTCACACCATCAACCAGCGGAACCACCACCCATCAAAATCCAATTCCGACGACAAATCGACAGTTTTACCTTGTTTCGCTGCCGATGTAGCAATCCTGACATTCAAATTCAGAATCACTATCAAAACCATCATCATCTTTATGGCTTCTGTTCAGATCTGCAAAAGTTCTAATTCCATGAAGGTGTAGATAGCGGGAGGAGTAGGAGGAGACGTCTCAATAGGGGAATTGAAGCCAGAGAAGATGGATTAACCCCGACGGCAACGGCGATGGAGACGACGGATTCAACGGGATTGACACCGTTGTTCTGACGGTGATGTCGGTGGTTGGTTCTTTATCTTCCGATTAAGAGAGAATAACCTACAGAATTGAGAGATAAAAAAAAAACAGAGATGTATAAAAATATGTAAAATAAATTTGTTTGGGTGCAAAGCACAAAACTTGACTTAGAGCCTGTTTGGCTAAGCTTATAAGCTCCTAAAAACATCTTATAAGATGTTTAAGAGTTTATAAGATGTTAAAAAGTGTTTGGTAAAACAATTAGAAAATATCTTATTTTTTCCAACAATAAGCTGTTATGGAGCTTATAAGATGTTTTAAAAAAAAGGGTAAATTACAAATACCCCCCTGAGGTATGAGCAAATTACAAAACCCCCCCTCTTGTTTGAATAATTACATCTAGCCCCCTCAACTATGATATTTTCTTACACCTCCACCCTTGTGGTGCCAAATTCAACATAATCATCTAGATTCCGTGAAATGTGTTCTAGTTTGTACTCGTTTTGTGTAAAAATACAGTTTCCGATGCACCACAAACTGATATATACAAGCTAAAAATCACTTATTATGATCATCTTGCTTCATAATGTAGAGTTTGAACGGGATAAAACAGGTACAAAAGTGATAATATTCCATATAATCTCGAAGATTCCACTAAATTTGAGGAGTTGGGGGTGGTTGTAATTATCCAAACAAGAGGGGTGTTTTTGTAATTTGACCATACCTCAGGGGGTGTTTGTAATTTACCCTTAAAAAATACCTCCACCTAGGGGTGCAAGTTGGAACGGAATTTCCAATTTCCGCCGGTTCCGATCCGAAAAGTTCCGATTTTGGAACAACTTTTTTCATTCCGACTTCCGAAATTCCGATTTCCGAATTTTTCCGATTTTTTTGGATTGGAATTGGAATTATATAAAATATATTTGGAATTTCCGATTTCCGATCCGATTTAATTCCGATATTATTTCCAATTTTTTTCCGAAAAATACACCTATAAATAATATATTTTATATTATACTTATTTTCCAAAACAATACGCCTATAAGTTTTGTTTTAGGATTTTGACATAATAAATTGTTGTTAAAAGTTTTATTGGATATTATGTTGTGTTTATATTTATTTATTTTTTTGAACTGAAATTTAGTAATTATTAGTTTTACTTTTATCGATGTGGATGTTCTTATTTTTTTTAAAATATGAACATCCTAGAAAATTTGGGCTAAGTTTTGAAATTTTAAAGCTTATGTGATTTCCGATTTTTTTCCGAAATTCTGAAATTTCCGGGTCTTTTGGAATTGGAATGAATTTTTAGATTCCGAAATTTTTGGAATTGGAATTGGAATCGATTTTGTACTTCCGATTTTTTTTGGAAATTTTCCGAAAAGGCTAATTCCGATCCGATCCATCCGACTTTCACCCCTACCTCCACCTCACATTTTTTCTTTAACATTTTTTTTTTTTTTACTAAAACATCCTAAATACAAAATTACCCTCAAATACTTTATTATATTACATAAGTACTAATAACATTTACATTTTATCAAAACAAAGTATTCTTGTAAGCAAGATTAATAATTAATTAAAATATAATTATCTATAAAATTAAAACTTTCACAAATCTGTTTCATTAAAATATTTTAGTACACTTTATTTTATTTTAAATAATTGTCAAATGTCGTATCAACATAGATAAAAAAATTATGTAGTTTATTTAATATATAATTTTATATTATTATTTTTATTTGAAAACTTAATTTGTAAATACTTTAATAATATTTTAGGAATAAAAGTATTTGAGTCGAATTGGTTTGACAGTTATATTGGCGTCATGTATTTTTTTGTCATTATAGCAATAAACAGACATTTTATTTCCAAACATCTGAACAACTTATAAAAACTAAAAGTAATTTATAATTTACATATCCAAACACCTTAAAAAATAATTTTTAAAATAAGATCTAACAGCTTATCAGCTCCTAAAACATCTTATCAGATATGTAGGAGATTATAAGATGTTTTCAATAAGCTTAGCCAAACGAGCTCTTAGTTTAGAAGGCAAAGTGCTTTTATATAAAATATTCTTTTATCATATTTTACTATTTATTACTTGTTAAATTTTATTTTTTGTTTGGGTAATTTTATATATATTTTGTCTTTGCTAATATAGTTGTATATTCTTGAATCTCTTGAAGAGTTTCAGCAGTTTTACCATCGGAGGACTACATATGAATATATATATATTTTTTTTTCCCGCAGTAAAATGTTGCAGCACTTGAGTAATAACTCAAATTAAACAGTAACTATTAAATTAACAAAAAAGAGGAACATTTATTTTCAAAAGCAATGGTACATACCCAGTAGTAAGTACTAAAGCTCAAACACAATA